GGGTGGTTGTGTGTTGTGGGGGGTGGAGGGGGGGATGGGAAGCCTTTTGGGGGGCAGTCTTAGAGGGAAGGCTCTGGGGAGGGGTTATCTTGTGAGGGTTAATCCTTCCTAGGTGGGGAGAATTTGAGGGGTTGGTCTTCTAGGGGAACTGGAGGTGGGGGCGTCTGCAGGGGTGTTTTGCTATAGTGGGAGGCCCTGGGAGGGGGCTTTGGGGGTGTGGGGCGAGGTGGAAGAGAGGAGGTTCTTGTCCCGTGGGTGCGGGGCTTCCCCTACGTCTGTGCCCGTGCAGTGCAAAGGGTGTTGGCTCTTGGTGCCGGCTGGTGTTTGCGTGAGGGGCTGCCTTCACGTGAGGTGGAGCAGGCCTGCTTGCAGGGGGAACGGTGTCAGTTTGGCAGACCTGCAGGCACGTGGTCTAAAAAATGCATCTTTAACAAGCTACGGGGGGGTGGGGTGGGCTGTTGCGTACCTGTGTCGTAGATGCGAAGGCTTGTAAGGTGTCAGAGAGCTTCTGGCCCTTAAGGCCTGGTAGGTGCTGTGGATGAGGACTGGAGGCGTTTTGTGGCACAAGAAGGGGCCGGGGAGCCTCTTCCTAGGGTTGACGATGGGCTGGGTCTGCCTTTTGGGACCCTCTGCCTCAGGTCAGCGATGTGCTGGGCCTGCGTTTCGGCTGCAGCAGGAGGCAGCGGCTTGGTTTAAGAGTGAGCTAGATCTAAAGGGCTTTCGTTTCCGCGCTGAGCGTTGCACGTAAACAGGGTGCGCAAAGCCATAAGGTTGCACCAGGAAGCTGCCGCGAGGCGTGTGCCGGCCGAACGCGTCCGGTCGTGTGCAACGGGGGCAGGACGCCGGCGATGCCCGTTTTCCCCCGAGCCGCGCTTTTGGCCCTGGCCGTCCTGTCGTTTGCGTCACCCTCGCTTGGAAGCAGAGAGCTGGCGGGGTCTGAAAGTTAAGGGTTTTGTGGTTGGGAGGTATGGGAATTCATCCAGTTTTTGGCAACGCTGGCTGTTCGGGGAGAGGCTGCAGTACTGCTGATCCAGTTGGAGGGACGGG